AAAAAAAAAAAAAAAAAAAAAAAACGGTTGGCTATACATTCACCTCTTATAGTTTTAAGGACTCGTAGCTTCGAAAGCACTCTTACTAGTAGTTAGCGAAAGAACAGAAGATTTACGGGTCATTTAGGATGTTTAATTTTTTTTTGTCGGGCAGTTTACTTGTGCTATATAACTTTACTTTTAAGCACCACCTTTTGCTTTGGAAAGGGAGGAAAGAGACCGAAAAGAGCCGAATATTCCAAATGTATGGGCAATTTTTTACGATGATAAATTTTAACCAGTGAAGTAACTTGGGTTCCAGAGGGATTTTCACGGCTTTGCCGCTCTTAGTCAGTAACTCCGCGGAAAACATCCCTCTGGGTCCCAGGGCGGGGTACCAGTGAAGTGAAATGAGACTCGAGTTAGTAAAACTATACAGATGCAGTTGTAACCGGCGAAAACAGTTCTTTTTCTCTTTCAAAATAACTGGAAAAAGTATTTATCCCCACTTTTAGAATCGAGTTACGTAACCCAAAAATAACATTCGATCTGTTAGGTCACAGGTAGCCCAAGCTTGGTTTCTGTGGTGTCCTGTTATAAGGAAATGTATGGAGATTCATCAAAAATTTCAATAAAATCATTGAAACGTGAAATAAAGCCTCGAAATTTTACCCGATCATTGAAAAATAGCACTTCTTTCGCTCTGTGTGGTTATTTTTTGAATTTAGCCCGTTTTAAGTTTTTTCCCCCACCAGTAAGAACTTCCAGGTTGGCCTTCGGTGCAAGGAGTCAGTATGCAAAAGTTAGTTTTAAGCCCTCGTGCGTGAGTGCGTGAGAGAGTGACCCGGGGGGGGGGGGGGGTACTACCCCTCAACTTGGGTAGGGGTGTGCCGCCAGGACCTCAAAACCCTGACCCTATCCCAGACCTAAAATTTTGATTTAAAAAACCCTACCCCAGACTAAAACTAAGAATTGTACACCCTATCCCAGACTAAAACTACGGAAAATACGGTTATTCAATAGATTGCAATCAATATCTATTAACGTTTTTATTGTTTTTGTGCCGTCAGAAAGCGTAGCCTATCCGCCAGACTAAAACGACCAAATCGTTAACCCTATCCCAGACAAAAATGATACCCTATCCCAGACAAAATGTCCAAAATTGATACCCTACCCCAGACCCAAAAGCCGAAAAACCATACCCTATACAATACAATACAATACAATTTTATTTGGTACCTTATACTAATAGTACATGAGTGTTTGATTCCAAATATATTATAGGTATATATATGTACTATGTATTAGGTAATTTTCTTATTTCATTTTCACGTATCAGCATACATTGATGAATGTATGCTGATATGGCTCTTTGTAGAGACGCTGATTTTGAATTGATTAAGAACATAAAACGACTGTCAGCGCTCATATTGTTGAAATTAATGCTGGTGTTTTTTTCTATGAACTCTCTTAAGTCGTTTCTATGAGACTCATATAGTGGACACCAAACTAGAAAGTGTTTTTCGTTTTCTACTCCCGACTTACACACTGGGCAAATCCTTTCATCGTAAATGAGATAAGGCCTCTTATACCTCCCCGTTTCTACTTCAAGCTTATGGTTACTAATTCTTAATTTTGTAAGCGCCACTCTGTGCTTAATATTGGTGACTTGACTTAAATATTCTTCATACCCTATAGGGCGGCACATACCCGTATAGCAAATATAGGGGAGTACCCCCCCCCCCCCCGGGGTGAGTGAGTGAATATCACATTTTCATATTCAGACACCTGTATCCACGAGTTAAAAACAGATTCCTAAGCTAGAGAAGAATACTATAAATGAAAATAAGAATTTTAAAAAGTGTGTTTGTATTTCTTTAGTGGCTTTGAGAGAAACTGAGTAAAAAAATATTTCTACAGCTTTGCTGTGCGGACACTCGAGTCATCATTAGTTCACACGGAGTGAGCTAAAAAGTAAAGCATCTTAAGATTTTCCGCAGTTTGTCGGAGTGGATGTCGTCTAAAAACGCTTGATCCCTTTGTTTCACGGAGAGCGCTAGCAAAAAACCTCACAGGTGTCCGCGCTGTACTGACATTTAAACATACGGCTAATTGTGTCCAAATTCCGCCAATCAAAGAGCAGCTTTCCATTTCGGTCACGAATGCTGGTATTAGCAATACCAATCTCGTACCCAGAGCGCCGCCATCTTGAAAAAAGCGAGAAGAGAAGGCCCTGGAACGAGGTTGATGCTAGAGACCTTGTTCTTCGCCTCAGGCCAGACGAAACGCAGGCTCTGGGTACGAGATCGAAGCACATTCACTGAATTTGTGTGGGAGAGTGATCAAAGGCTTCAAAGGTTTCAAAAGTTTATTTTTTTTCAGACATACAAAATTACAAGTTTTAAATTAGACATTCAGTAAAAACAAAACAGTGAAAAGGTACAGAAATTACAACCCAAAAGGGTTAATTAGAAGATTCTGCACCTTATTTAGTAATTGCATGAGTTGCCGTCTTATTCATTTGAAGTGTCTTAAAAAAACAAAGAGCACAATTGAAATTGATAAAATCGATTCAGGCCTAGATTTTCTATGTCACCTATGTATTGTAGTGCTTTGCCCTTTGTTCACTTAAATGACGATGAATTTCTTTCAGCCCTTTTTGAATTGCAAAACGTATGGATACAGTGCTATTTGCATAAGCTCGTTTGCTGCAAGATAAGCAGTATTTAAACCACTGGAGTGGGCCAAAACACAGTTCAGTAGTGTAATATTTCCATTGCTAACAATGACCTATTACTACATCCGTCGAAGATTTGTTGGCCTTTTTGTGTCGAGAAGAATCAGGACCGTCTACAAAGTGGTCATTTTTCTAGTCTTTCTTATTTCTTTAAGTGCTTTCTACCTGAGTGTAGTTTCGCCAGAGATTCCTCAAAACGTCTTTTTCTTAAAACTGCGGGGTAATAAAAGTCGTTTCATAGACTTAAAGTGGAATTGCAGTTGTGAATTTGGTTCAGGTTCAACACCAAGTAATAAAATTTCAACATCGCCAGGAAGCTCCAAGGACTGTTTAAACGATCAATCACGACAAGCAGACACCGACTTCAGCACTGTTGGGTGGACAAATTTCTCCCTGATCATGCCTCGTGTCGAACCGAATATTTCTTGTGAAGAAAGAAAGCTTTTTATGGTTGTTGTAGTCAACTCGGCAACCGACGACAGACATAGGATCCTACGAATGTCTATCAGAAAGACTTGGGGAAATTTAACACAAGGAAAAGGGAATCAGAAATGGAGGATCTATTTCGCTTTGGGAATGTCCAGCAGTTACGCTATGAATCTAAAGAACGTACAAGAAGCTTTACAGTACAATGATATAATCATAGGAAACTTTTCAGATACTTACAAGAACATTGTTATCAAAACATTTATGTCGCATTTCTGGGTGTATTCTCAATTTGATTGTATGTATGTTATGAAAACCGATGATGATGTTTATGTTAGAGTCTCAAGGTTGTCAAAATGGCTCGAAAAACAAGGCTTCCCAAACCCTTTTTATGGGGGGTTTCTTAGCGAGAATTTATTAGTAGTTCGCGATCCAAAATCCCCTTGGTTTGTTTCTAAGGAAGACTTCAATGAGACAAGATGGCCACCCTTTTCGCACGGGGCATTTCAAGTTGTCTCTACCGCTATACTTCCTCGTTGTTTTAACTACACCCAGTCAGTCAAACGACCATTAACCACAGATAATGCATACTTTGGTGTCATGGCTAGAGACCTGGGAGTTAACGCCACACAGATTCCTGGCTTTAGTCTTAATCCGCCTAAAAGTGACTTTGAGGTCATGATCGCCACTGCGTTTGGCCACGCTCTAGACTCTTCTGCCATGTTCAAGTACCATGCTAGATATCATAACCTTGATATATGAAATGGTTTCTTTTGTAGTTTTCTTTTTGTAATCAATGTTTTGCTCGAGTGATAGCAAGGCACAGACACACGGTGCAACATTGCGCGCAACATTGCAGGCAATGTTGCTGAAGGAGGATAGTTTTCTACGTCATCAACGTTGCGTGCAACAAATTGCGTCGTGTGTCATGGCTCGCAACATCAATTGCATGCGACATTGCGCGCAATGTTGCACCGTAACTTAAATAGTATTATTTGTCAGTATCAACTACCTTTACTTCGTGCATGCGCTCTACCAGAACTGGACATGTCTAATTGTTGTTGTTTCATACTGTTTTATACAAGTCGTTTTGTTCAAGGAAACTGTGTGTTTGAATTAAAACAGGTAATGGATAACTTATTCTATGAAATCGCGAAATTAAAGTGACTTAGAATGCATGCAATGTTGCGTGCAACAAGTTTCAGGGGTAGACATACGCTGCAACAGTCCTGTTGTGTGCAATGTTGTGTGCAATGTTACATCGTGTTCGCACCTTAACGTGTCGTGAAACTTTCATGTAATAAGGTATTCCTTTATTAAGTACTGTTTCCATAGCACGCGTATATATATTTAAAAACTCATTAATAATTCATAAAGGAATCACAATAGAAATCATGATCGCGAAGGAGGTTTTATATCTTATATAGATTCATCTTCATTTGCATAAACTGTAGCTTGGATTTTCTCTATCAAACTTGGTTCATTTCGTAAAGAATTCTGTACACTATGAGAACATGCATCATGTGTTTTTTAAGCCGTTTAATAAACTCGCAGATCGTGTTTTATCGGGTCTAAAACCACTCGGCTGCGCCTCGTGTTTTATACCCGATAAAACACTCCTGCTCGTTTATTAAACAGTACCTAAGATTTTGTCCACAAATGCCTCGTTTTGGACAGCGCTCGCGCATCTCAAGAAATGCGTTACGGGTTGCCTGTGTTGAAACGAATAATCCTGGGTTCTAATTGGAATAAAGTGAATCAAATAATATAATCATCCATGTTTGTTGTATTTTATTTCAACATTTCTGTTGTTATAGCGAGATCCAAGCCAAGAGAATGAAATGCCAACTACTTCACTGCGTTCGTTGTATACTTTGATCTTTTCTTTATTACTCCTACCTGAATATTACTGTTCTTTTAACGACGTGACGACAAAAGTTGGGATTTCATCCATCAATGGGCTGTTAGCTGCATTTGGCGATTTCAATGGGGACAAATCTACTGATCTTTTTGTTATATCCAACCAAGGTAAAATACTCCTATATATTCATTGATAAATTAATATTCTATTTCGTCGCATGTTAGTAAATCCTGTTTGAACCAAAAATTGAAATTCTGCAACGACAACCTACGATGTTAACACGTCATAAAAGCAGCTTACTTTTCTTACTAGTAAAACACTATCACCTCAGTACAAGTGATTTTAAGTTAATTTATCTTATCAACCGTTAATCATTACAGGAAAGAACTTAGATGTTTTGCTTTGGAATGAAGGTTCCCAAAAGTTTGATGGCCTAAAAGCTCTCGTGGCTTTTCCATCAAGGTACAGTTGAGGTGTTCGTAACATATATAAGCTTTGAATAATCCCATGAATGAGATGGTAATTACCAATATAATCCTCACCCCCTCCCTGGTAAAAATATAGTTTTATTCTATTCTGTTTAATCAAGCTATTGAACCTGAAAAGAGGTGCTTTAAATGCAAAGTTTTTCAGTATGAAAACGTGTTAATTTTAACAGTCATCAGGACACACCCAAAATAATGATATACTGTTGTTTATACATTGTTTATAATGTTCTATTTGCGGTGATTTCACTGTACTCCCGATTGAGAAATGGAGAGGCAAACACGACAGTGCTCTCGAAAGAACCAAGATAGTGCAAGGGATGAGAATAAAAGGGGAGGGGAGTGCAGCAAGACAGTTTTATTAGATTAGTGCACTGGAACAATGTTTGACCTTTTCAGGTTTGAACCAAAATCATGCTAATCAATGACTTCTTGTACGTACTTACTAGCAAGGCCACAGTGAATTGATGGTTTTCAACCATTCCCAAGAGATTTAAATAACAAAAGACACGGTGGCCATGTTGGAGGATATAACAAAAGAATTCATTGATAATTCTTTTGTTAAGCTTCTCCAACATGGCCACCATGAAAACCATCAATAGTATGTCTGCATAAAATGGAACCACTGCCTGCATTTAGCTGGGGTTATTGTCCAGATATTTCACTGTAACACTTGTAGCAGCAGCTGAGTTTGATGATGCCCCATACTAATTGTGATCCCTTGTTGCCTGGCTTCTTCACGATTGTTCATTTGTTGTTGCACCTCTGGGTGGCTAATATCTGCTTTCATAGCTGCCTTGAGTGCACTGATAGCTTGTTCTACACACGCATTTGATATGATCATGTGGCATCCTCTTGGCCAATGAGAAGAGAAAAAATGGAGACTTTGACACTTGGTACTTATAATGATATTTGTTATTCCATAGTGTTATAGTCAATGTTGGACCAGGAGATTTTAATGGTGATGGGTGTATGGATGTTTTGATTACCACTGAGACAGGCAAACCTGACGCAAGAAATATACAACCTAAAAGAGTCTATGTCTTTTGGGGAAGTCTAAATGAGATAAGCAAAAGTAAGAACAATGCAGCCATATAAAGTGTGCTAAAAGTAATGGCTAGTCAGTTGCCTTTTGTGATGGTCAGCCAAATTAGTTTTAGCTCAGCCATAGCCCATGTTTGGCTCAACATTACTGGTCAAAATGACTGGCAAGACAAAGATTTGACCAGACAAGTTTCAATAGTCCTTTTTAGCTTCGTGGTTTGATGTACACATTTCAGACCATGCGATGCCACTCTTGGGAGTTGATTCTTTCATGTGTAAATATTTTAACATGTTCGTCATAAAAGAACAATTCTCAAGGGAATGTCATGTGATCTGTAATGGGCAATTGCATATGAAGCTAAAGAGACCTCTATTCGGACTTGACATTGTCTAATAACTGGCAATTATTTTTAGCCCTGTAAAACTGTTCCAAGTTTTCTAATAACAGCAATGACATAAAGAATGCAGTAGCAATAATATTAATTGATAAATACAAATGTTTTGAATATAGACACTCACACTTTGTGTTTCTGCCAAAGATAGGGAAGCTGAATGTAATCAGCTGAGGTTTTGATAATATTTATATCATCATTATTTTAACTAGTTAATTTATACAATCATTTGTTATGCAATATTCAAAGTCATCCTTGGCTCCTGAAATATTCATTAGCTTTTAATCTCTTTTTTTGCAGTAGAGAAATCCTTTCAAATTCCTGAGGAGCTAAAGGACCAGCCTGTAATTTTAGAGTGAGTCGATCAAAACTTGAGACATTTTAATGTTTCCAAAACTCAAACAACTTCAGGCAATAGGACGTTTGCATGATGTTGTCATTGAGCTTTACTACCAGACTCCCTTGCACACTTTCTTTCGTTCAGTTAATTAGCCCTACTTGTTCTTACTATTCTCATAAGGGAACACAAATTTAAGTACGGAATCAAATTCAAGAAGCATCTTGGTAGTGGGAGTTGAATGATGCCACCATGCTAACGTCCTACTGGGACATTGAGATGAATAAATGGAGGGTCTATGGATTTAACCCAAAACCACAGTGGTGAGTATCCAGTATGATAGCAGTAATAATTCATACTTGACCATTGGGTGCAGTGTGACTTACAGGGGAGGGGAGTAGGGAGTGTGCAGTTCCCCATAAATGAGCAATTTACAGTCAATTATGGCTTTATTATTATGCACATTTGGTGCATGAGCCCTAAACAAAATTGGTGCACCCCCTAAAAAATCCTGGGGTGCACCCCTCCCTAAAAAGATTCCTGGATCCCCTTCTTCATTACATATGGTATTGTCCGGTATCAATATATGGGTGCCCCATATTATTCACCAACTGTACCACTGGTTATGGTGATGATGATGATGATGATATTATAATCCTTTATTTAATGAGGATGGCACTAAATAGCCAAAACTATGCTAATAAACCTGTTTCCTCTAGTTAAACCTGTATTATTAGTTACACCTGTGGTTAAACCTGTATTACTAGTGGAATCTAGTTGTAGTATTGGACAACCCTCCTGCTATTTTAAGTGCTGGCTCTCACAGCTGCGATTTTGGGCTATTTAATCCTGGGACCCCTCCATTTGGTTTTTCCTGTGCTGCTAGGATAATGTTGATATTTGCTCTTGTTTTTTTGATAGCGTTAATGGTGACTTGATACCTGATATTTTGGGTACAATCTACAACTTGAAAAATGCAAGCCTTGAAGTGAGAACTTACTGGATATCAGTAGGGTATGTGTTTTTGTGACCATGTGAATTATTTTTGTAAAACTCTTTATACAGCTAGCAGTATTGGACATAGGTCGGGGAGGGGGGGGGAGGGGTGTTGGAATTGAAAGAAAAAATGGGGCTACATTTCTGAGAGAAACATTGGGGAATGTATTTTGCGTTTTTCAGGGATCTCATTGAACATTCTTTTACAGTTATTATGGATAGCACATTTTGCAATTCAGTGAGATAACTTTAATATTTGTAGCAAACTAAGAGTTTTAATATTTCAAAAATAATATTGTTGAAATGAATCTGGACAGTAGCAAACTCAGATAGGACAATAATAGGAATAATTTAATCTACTAGTTTTATAATTAGAATATAAAATTAATTAGATAATTTGTTCATACTGTTAGTTTTATTTTATGTTAGAAAAAACAAGACGTTTGAGAGACAAACCCAAAAAGCAAACTCAAAAGTCACTGAACAGAATCAAGAATTATCGCCATTGACAATTCCTCATTCAAATGGTTTCTTGGATCTAACTGGGGATATGACAGCAGGTTAGTTTGATTCACCAGCAGAACTTGTAGAATTTTAATATGAAAATCCAGAAAATATCTATACCACATACCCATGGAGGAAATTGGAAATTCTGGAGGGGAAGGGGTTAGAGAAATAACAAAATTACAGAGTTTGTATGGAAGAAAATTGGAAGTTCCAGAGGGTAGGGGGGTCCTTTTGCAAATTCCCTCTGTGGTGGGGGCATGGATATATTCTGGAACTACACATTTGAAATATTTTGACAGGTATTTTGGTTCAATGCATGGGCTTCAGAAACAGTTAATGTTCTTCATTAACTAAATTCAGTTGAAACAAATTTAAAAGTTATGGTTATTGGTTATTTAAGGAGAGAGGGAATAAAGCAAAGCAATCATTGCAGCTATACCCAGATACAGTTCAAGCAGCTGTGAGATCTGTTCCCTGATTGCATCCTTACTGCTACATCACTCATGTAATTGTTGTTCAAATGATTTTCAGATCTGTTTGTAACCTCAAAGTCTGAAGACTACAAATTTGAAATTTGGGAAAATAAGGTCAGTGTAGTAAAGATTATACGGTAGTTTTCAAGTACATGCCTTGCTGCAACCGATTCTATAATTTTCAGTGGCTGATTTTTATCACATGCAATGTGATTGGTCTGCCAGTGCTGTGTTCTTGGCGTGACTATGTCCACACTGTGTTTGTGCTGTATTTTGGGTATTTTATTGGATGGAGAGTAAAGTCTCACACAATGTGGTTGGGCTGGCAGTGCAGTGGCATGACTGTATTCTCACTCTTTTTATGCTGTAATTCTGGTATTTTATTGGATGGAGAGTAAATTCTTGATCAATGTGATTGCCTTGCGTACCTTGTATTGTCATGACATCACACTTTTCACAGCCATATAAGAACTGCTTTACGTTTCTGCATGGGTCTGCCCAAGTGTTGAGATTGAAGCCTTATCTTTCAGGAAGGAATTCTGACTTACTCTCCTGATAGCATTGGTCTTCCTGATGGTGTCAGTGCCAGATCACATGTCATTGGTCAATCATCATTTGCTGACTTTGGTAAGAATCAACATTCACTCATTCGTTCATTTATTCATCCATCCATTCATTTATGCATCCATCCATCCATCCATTTTTCCATCCTTCCATCCATTCATTTTTCCATCCATCCATTCATTCATCCATCCATCCCATCCATTCATATTTTTTTTCTTTCTTGTAACAAGTTGATTAATTCTTGGCGATGTATTATTGAAGTACAGTGATTACGAAGACACCCTTCATTAAACACAGTCCTAAAATTGTTTTCCCATTTACATTCATCATAAAACAAACCCTTACTCTACAGACACCAGGACGTTATCCATGCAAAGAATGAAATTTAATATTCATTTTTATTTTTTCATTCAACCAGACAGGGATGGTAAAATAGATCACTTACTTCCTGTGTGCTCTTTACCAAACTGCCAAGACAGTCAAATCTACATCTACATCAATAACAAGGTATATTTTACGCTTCCTTCTTAACATACGTAGCATAAATTACACTAGGGTTTTCCTTTTGGGTCCTTGGTAACTGCTCAAATATGGATCCCAAGCATTGTGTTGTGCAGTGCCAATTATTTTTCATATAGTTTGTCATACAAAAATGTAATGCATCCTGTGGGACACATATTTTCAAATATATAGTATTTTAACGATTTACAATACCTGGTCTTAGATCTCCAAGCAACAACATATTTTGAACTAGTTGTGTACATTACAATACAATACGATAAGCTATATTAGGTTCTCTGGATGGGCTCTTACCGCTATTTGCATTGCTACACGGTCACCCCAGACAAAAAACGTGACGTGCACTTTGCAATAGACTGCTATCAATCAAACACGTTAATGTCATTTATGTGCGTTTGGATCGGCCCGGTAGGCCCGGTGAGTGTGGCTCATAATACTTGTAAACAATCAACAAGTTTTGGCGCCTTTTGAATCACACACAAGTGTAAATGATGTCAACGTGTTTGAATGAGGGCAGTCTATTGCGACGTGCACGTCGCGATTTTTGTCTGGGGTGGCCACATAGCAATGGAAATGGCAGTAATACCATTATTTATAAAATCATGAAAAAATATATATCTTTGTGTTTTTTTTTTGCCAAGGGTTCTTCCTTTGTCAAAAGTATTAAGCACTTATATTGTTATTGGGTTTGTTCTCTCTATTGCAGTGGTCAAGGGTTTTAACCAATAATCAGGACACATGGCAATTCATACCCCCCTCTGGCAATGAGTCAATTGCTAACACACCACTGATGACAATTAGAACAGGTGAGTTACATGACTGGGAGGGTAGGGGAGGGTAGGCCAATAATCAGGACACATGGCAATATTCATACCCCCCTCTAGCAATGAGTCAATTGCTAACACACCACTGATGACAATAAGAACAAGGTAAGTTACATGACTGGGAGGGTAGGGTAGGGTAGGTCTGCTTTCTATTTTTTTTAGTTTCAACCATGTGAGTATGCAGTGAGGGATGTCAGAATCTTATTGGATATGTATCTTTTCAGGTGATTACAATATGGATGGATATCCTGATGGACTGATCATCTTAGACATCATAACTCCAAAGTAAGTCTTAAAACAGTAGAGTGCAAACAATATATCCGTGAAATATTAGTAATACTAACTTACGCTATTTTATGCTAATTCTATTGTTTTCTTATGTTTAACTAGCTTTATTTTGAACAATTTAGTAATTAGTGTTTCACGGATATATTGTTTGCACTCTGTTAGTTAGGGACTGTTCATTTTTTACCAGTGGGGAAAAAAGGTTCAAGAAGGGGGGAATTTGAGTCACACAGCACTTTTAGTTTTACAATAAACAATATGGAAAACATGAACACATAAAAAATAAATGTCCCCTCAAGTTTAGCACCAAAAATTGTGGTTGGAACAAGTTGATTATTGTCGAGGTTCCTTTCCAATCAATTGAAGACATTGTCTTCAGCTGTATCATACATGTCATGACTTTTGAAGCAAAAAGTACCAACTTTAGATACAATTGAACACAACAAAGAAGTGTTAGGAGAAGCAAGACATGCAGTGAGATGCTTCTGCGATTTGTTAAATTTAACTTGCATCTCGCATGCTTTAAAGAGTGTTGATTTACTTCCTTGATCCAGGAGAATTAGAAGTGCACCAGTATTGCTTGAGAATGTTCCCTGCAGCAATTCTGGACATCACTGTGTAAATGGAAGAACATTCTCTGTGCAGTGGAAGGTACTATACAGTAGATAGAAGCTATTACAAGCACCTACAGTACTTACAGGCTAATAGGCCTCTTCACCTTGGGCGTAATGTTTGCCCATTTCAGACCACGTGTCATTCTTGTTGGAATGAGATTCTTTGTTTGAGTTGTATCCATATTCACGTGTCTTCTCATGTGCAACCATCAACAAAGAAATGATACTCTAGGGAATGACACATGGTTTGAAATGGGAAAACATTACGCCCAAGGTAAAAAGGTCTATTTGATATTGATATGAAATTCCATCATAAAATAGACTTATACTTGAACATTGTGGACTTTTGATGAGTGTGAAATTTCTTGGCATGCAGCAACGTTATGGCATGTGATGAGTTCATTATATCGCTGAATCCCTCCTTTACCTCAGATTTCTGGTTATCCATTCAAAATGCTTGGACACATACCATCGCATTCATTGTGCAGTACGTATGTTCCAAGAACTTTCACAATCATACCAAAAGGTTCCAACAGCCTCCAACTATGCCAATGATCAGTGAATTGTACAAGCACTAGGTAGGACCAAGGTACTTCTTCTTTAATTTCTGTTCTGTTTTCCATTTAGTCTCTGATGTCATTAGAGGGAGCAGTGGTTGCTACATTCTTTGATCTTTATGAGAATGTAAGTTAAAAATATTTTTTTCCTTGCGTTCTGATTGGCTGCGCAAATGGGTGGTATTCTGACTGTGGTCTGGTATCCTGGAATAGCGAATTGCCAAACAACAAGAAAAAATTGCAAAACGAGATGAACAGTAAATATATAGTCCAAAACTCAGTCCAGATAGGAAAAAACTGTACCCTTGGCCTCTAAAACAGATTTCAGTCTTGTAATGGCCTTGGTCTGTATATTCAAGACTTTAGGCACAAATTTTCTGGCAAGAAAATAACCTCGGATGTCTTCAATGTTTTCTATCCTTAATTTGAATTATTTAATGGGTTTTCGATTAAAAAAAGATATCATCTTAATAAGATTTCACACAGAATTTTATTGACATTTCCAATGTCGTGTTAACCTAGAGAGCCCACTCTTATTGATGATATTTTTCTGCATTCCAAGGGAATCACAGACTTCATCATAGTAACACAGACTACACCTGACAGTTTCAGACTCCATGCTGTTCGTAATAATCTCTATGTTGATGCATCATTTGTCAAAGTGGCTGGTGAGTAAAGCATTCAACGGTGCTTACAATCATGAGGTGGTTAGTACTGAGATCAAGGGCGGATCCAGCCAAAATTTTAGGGGGGGCGTAATTGAGTTTAGGGGGGGGGGGTAATTGAGTTCCTTTTTAGCCCCCCTTTGCCCCCCGGATCCGTCCTTGGAGATGTAGGCACTGAGGATGGTCACTGCCAAGGTTTCTTTACGTCCTCAGTGGTTCTTTTACATCCCTATGATATTGGTTAGTAATGATGAAGTGTGAAGAATTGGGATCGTCATTGAAAGTGGTCATATGAGCCGCTTGAAAGTCTAACCATTTTCAGAAATAACTGTAAATGCAGCAGTTTTTCCTAAGTTATTTTAAGACCCTGAGTGTTGGTCTGGCCGCAAATTGAACCTACAACCTCCGGCACAATTGGTCCAATGCTAAACTAACTGAGCTAACTGGGTGGAACCACAGGGAACCCAGCTCCAGAGCGTGATCACTGAGTACAAATCAATAATCCTTTGGTTATGATATGGGTTAACTGTGCCATTATTGGATGACCTTCTGGAATTATCAGGCTGTAAAACAACAGTATAATGTGCCAGACTCAACTGAGAAGCGTTATAGATAGTAAATTTTTAGTGAACCTTTTCCTTGTTCTTGTAGTTTTGAGTGGTGTAACCCTAACTTCCTGCAAAGGAGACAAGTTGGTAAGATATTTATCATTTGTAACAATCCACCATTTTTCATACATTTGTTCACTGGTAACACACTTGTAAAGTATTTAACCGTGTCTGCAAGTTTTAAATTTGAATAATCCTTCCTTTGAAACTACTTACCTTACAGTCCCAATTGAATGCTATGCTTCATAACATAACAACCGATTCAGCCATAGAGACCATTAACAGCAGAGAGGCAGGGCTGTAGAGGCTTTTTCCCCCCCCCCCCCCCCGGTATTTTGTAGTGCTTTCAACCTTCCTTCCACCAGCCACCATGCATACAAATAGCAGATATTAAAGTTACACTCTGTTCCTTTCAAGCAACTGTTTTGAGTTTAGGCATTTGGGTCAGTACAATGAATGTATAAAAAGCCTGACCCAACTGGAACAATCATTTGGCAGAAGGCAATAGGATGTAACTCTAAGGCTCTGGCTAAACGAGGAAACATGTTTCCCTAAATGTCTCCTAAGGTGGCAAAACTGTCAGGAAACATCGGGAAACAATGTTTCCATGCGTCTTGGAAATATGAAATGTTTCTGCCGCATAGCAAAAAAATTTTTTGCGTTTTGGAAGCAAAATTTGTTGCCACAGCAATGTTTCTCATGTGGCTAAACTGGGAAACATCGAGGAAACATGCGCGCGGTAAACATGTTTACCCGTTTAGCCTAATACCTGCTATCCAAACCTATGCATTGTCACTGTAATCAACTATAGCAACTCAAAATGACAAAAACTGCAAACATGTCATATCAAAAACCAATCATGTACCTTATTACATGAATGTTTCACGACGCGTTAATTTTGCGATTTTTTTTTTGAAAATTGCGGAAATTAAGGTGTCGCGAAAATTTCATGTAATAAGGTAGCATCACATATACATGCACATGCATGGGTTAATGATGATGTTCTGATTGTGGTGTTGTTTCAGCCGTATGGAGTCAACCAAGCCGGTCCATATGTTAGTTATACAATGACTGATAATGATGGAAAAGTGAAGACTGGTGCTGGTGAGATTTTTGGGTTACTTTCATTCATTTATAAGGAAAAAAACCCAGTTTTTTTGTGCTCTGTACAGCAATAGAGCATGCACGCTTGAAGAGAGGCCCTGTTACATGCAGCACAGTTTTCGAGCAATTATCAGAGAGTGCATGGCCGTTGCAAGGCTGAGAAATAACTGCTTACATGATGCATTGTGCTCTAAGTTGGGCACAAATGTGGACTTCTTCTTGTTCATCATAGTGTTGTTTGTACCCAAGCTAGACCAGCATGCATCATGTTTATCGGACTTAGAAAAGACCTTTGGTCAAGCAAAGAAGGTAGTCCTAATAGCGCAGCGCACTGAATCTAAAAATAGCTTAAAGATTCGGACAAACATTGCATTCTGCTTAACCGCTACGAGGATTATACGAACCGATTTTATTATTTTTACTCAAAGTTACAATAATAACCCATGTAAACCAAGATCAACTGCGATCGGCTGTGAAAATTATCTGCTGAAAGTAAACTTGTAAGTTTGTTTGTCCGAATTTCGCCTTTTTCTTCGTTTTTATGACGTCACGGTTGCGCTGCGCTATTGACCTTTTGTAATAAAATAAAGTTGATCTCAGAGAATCTCCAATGGATAAACCAGTCTAATGATGCTATTTGTTTCAGCGGCCCAGCTGTCTCAGTCTGGTTACTTTGCACTACAGTGTCCATACATAGTGTTTGGTTTGGGACGAACTCCAAACTTTGTTGACAAACTGACTATTGGAATGCCAAGGGCCAAGAAAGGCGTAAGTCACTGAATCATGTCTTTTTTATTTTACCATAACTGTTAAGATTGAATTGGTTTCTGGGTAGCTTGTCTAGCAAGTAGACTAGCCTGAGTATCAGGCTCTCTCCGGGGAGGGGGGAGGCGGAAGGCCCAAGCCCCCCCTCCCCCCCCCCTAGTTCCCCAGAAGAAAGCCCAAGCCCCCCCAGAAGCGCCCCAGAAGGCTTAATACTCAGGCTACAAGTAAACCCATATAACCCATTCAGGCTTTCAACTCGTAGCTCATGAGGGTTATACTAACGTAGGGAGGGGGAACGGGGGGCATGCTTGCTTTCAGCACAAAAATTTGATTAATGCATGCGAGATTTCTGTGGATTTGGCTGGAAAATAGTTCATTGCCCCCAATAATCAAGACCTCGCTGTGCCCTTGGGTTAGAGGTCTAATTGTTTCAGAGATTATTTGGAGAGTTATTGTGCCACCATTATTAAAGAATTTGTTTTCGTAATCATGAATATGCGCATAACGACTTTGAAATAAAATGTTTGGTCCTTGAAAACGCAATTTTCACGTTTCACGCCTTATGAAAGTTGCTGTACATGTAAATAAAGCCCTGTAACAGATTGTGCACTTGTCTTATCATTTTTCCTGACCTTCAGCTTCAAAAACTTCAGCATTCTGAGATCGAATCCTGAAACAACCTCTAGGCTGATCTAAGTCAGGACATGGCTAACTCACAGATCAAACCCTGCAACAGCCTCTGGGCTGATCAAAGTCAGGGCATGGCTAACTCGCAGATCGAACCCTGAAACAACCTCT